CAGTGATTTGGACTATGAGATGGACACTTGCTTCTTGCACTCTATGTTGCACTTTACTTTTGCTTTAAAAAAAGATTTCATAGAAATTTGGATTTAATTTGGAGTTTCGCTACTGAAGTCCTCTGTTCATTTTTTTCATCACGCAGTTTCCCTTTGTAGTTGCACTCACAGCTGTAATGAACAGAAGCCCAGAACATGTGGCTATATTGACATTAAGAACATGCTGACTTTCTCAGACTTTTTTGTCGATAGATTAATCGAAATAAAAACAGTCGTTAGTGGCAGCCCTACTGTATATGATGGAATGTATTTAAGATTAAATTCAATTGTATTATTTAATAATTGTATTATTTAATTTATATATAGATTATATAATAGAATTAATGCAACATACTTCAATATAGTTATAGTCGTGTTAGGATGAAATATAACTTCTTAATACAATTCTAAGTAAGTGCCGTACAAAGTAAGTGCTTTTTGCTTATGTGTGCTTTCAATTGTTCCTATATTTTTTCATAAATTTACCTTTGGGTCTGTTACGGGGTGATTCGGGCTCATCGCGGCGAGTACCGCGGCTCATGCGGTCGGACCAGCCGTCCCTCTGGGAGCGTTCACTTCTCACGCTGCCATCACCGCGCTCAGAGCGACTGCTGCTGGAGCCACAGCCGCGGCTGCTTTCCCGTTCATCTGCACAAAGCCATAAAACCAAGATCAGAGCCTGACACATGAGGTGGGATCTCTCAGGCCGAGAGCACCTGACTTACCTCTGTCTCGGTCACGGTAGCGGTCGTGGTCTCTGTCTCTGTCTCGGTCTTTGTCACTGCTCTTGTCTTCTTTGGAAGAAGCATAAACCCCATGCTCACGTCTGTCCTTTTCCCTCTGTTGATGTTTCTGCTTGAACTCCTCACTAACCCCTCCTGGGTTTGACGGCGTTTCTGATCCAGTGACACGGTACTTCCTGTAGAAGCATGTAACAAACTCATGACTGCATAGCATTTCTTTCTTTCTTTCATGTGTGTCCTTGATATTTAAGATGGGAGGCATTAGGAATATTCTGGATAATAAAATTAATCAAAATTAAGTACATAATATAATATTATGTATTATTATATACATAATTTAGCATCACTGATATACTATTATATTTTTTGTTAATATTGAATTATATTTTGTTTTTATATTTTCTGTTTTCTTTATAGTTAAAGTTTATAGTTGCATTTTGTCACTTTTATTAATTTTTGTTATTTGTTTTTTAATACACCTACAAGATTTATAAAGCTTTATTTTATTTAGTTTTAGCTAAAGTTTAGATTTAACTGTATATGTGACCTTGGATCACAAAACCAAGTCATAAGGGTCCATTTTTGGAAATTGAGATTTATACATCATCTGAAAGCTAAATAAATAAACTTTCCATTGGTGTATTGTTTGTTAGGATAGGACAGGAGATACAACTATTTGAAAATCTGGAATCTGAGGGTATAAAAAAATCCAAATATTGAGAAAATCGCCTTTAAAGTTGTCCAAATGAAGTTCTTAGCAAGGCATATTATTACTAATCAAATATTACGTTTTGATATATTTATGGTCAGGCTAGGGGAGTAACGGAATACATGTAACGGCGTTATGTAATCAGGATACAAAAATCTAGTAACTGTAATCCGTTACAGTTACATCAAAAAACAAAGTATTCAGATTACAGTTACATTTTGTAAAAAGTTATTTTGTCTTCAAAAAGGATAAAGGAAATAACATAGCTGTACAGTGTAAGCTATGCATGAAGACTCTTGCTTTAACAAAGGCTACTCAACCAACTTGAACATTTGCAGGTACGACTAGCATGGAAATCATCATGTTAGCTAAAATTTAGTGTTTGTTAGTGATTTAAAATTCCATGGTGTGCATGACTGCAGTTGTGTGTAAGTTTTCTAGCGGAAAATGAGCTGGAAAATGTAGAAATTAACACGAGAGTCCCCACACCCCGGATCAGTCAATGAAATTAAGAAAGATCATAGCATTTCACATACATTTCGACAAGTAGGCTTGTTTTAAAATAGACTAATATGTATATGGTGTAAATTTTTTAATGTTGTGTATAAACTATATTTAGTTTTACTTGTAGGCTACATGTTAAAGAAATACAAAAAATAATACTAAACTGTATAGCCACTAGATGTCTGCATTAGTATATATATATATATATATATATATATACGGGCTGTAATATCCAGATGGTGAAACAAGGCACGATTTTTAAAAGTTTAAAATAGTTTTTATTAGTTTTAATTTTTAAATCATAGTTAAATAAAAGTACTTAGAAATTGCTGTTTTGAATTTATTTACATATGTGACTAAAAGGAATCCAAAAGTAATCAGATTACATTACTTTCATATTGTGATACTTGGATTACTTTACTGAATACTTTTTTGATGAAGTAATTTGTAACTGTAACGGAATACATTTTAAAAGTAACCCTCCAACCCTGTTTACAAGTAACCCTCCGGAGCAAAAAATGAATTATGGTAATGGAAGTTTCATTTCCGACACGCATTGTATACGGAAAGACCAATCACAACAGACTTGGCCAGCTGACCAATCAGAGCAGAGTAGGCTTATGGAAGGGCATTAAAGAATTATCGATAATTTTGACCCATACAATGTATTATTGGCTATTGCTACAAATATACACGTGCTACTTATGACTGGTTTTGTGCTCCAGGGTCACATATGTGTTTTTGTGTTGTTATATAGCGAAAACTCAAGAATGGAGACATATAACGCAGCTTTTCTTTCACTGTATATGAAAAAAATATATTTAAGATTGATTAACTATGTAAAAATTAACGTAATTACAAGGAGACCCAGAGCATATTTGTGTATTTGTTGTTTCAGTTCCTACATTTTTTAGAAATTTAGAATACATTTTATTATGAAAGTCATTGATTAATCATAATTGTTTGTATGCAGATTTCACACCAAAAAAAATGTGTGTATATACACACTTAGTCAATAAGGCCCACAGTTCTCAAAAAAAATAAAAAAAAAAATCATGTCTATGTAACAAATAATTTTCTTGAAGAACAACCCACCTTTCCTTTTTTGGATTCCTGCTATCGCCATCTTCTTGATTTTCATCATCAGACCCCGAATCACTTTGTCCCTCCTCCCAGTCCTTGTAGGACGAAACCTTGGATTTCTTGGGTTGATCATCCAGACTTTCCTTGCCCTCGCGCTCCTTGCGTTTCTGTGCGGCCAGCAGATCGAGGCCCAGGAGCGAGGTGCGTGGAGCAGGTGCTCTGAACACATGCTGTTCTGATGAAGCGCTCTTCTTCTTCACTATCAGCCCCCCGTCCTGAACACTGGGGTCACTCCCGTCCAGTCGATGCAGGGAGGAATCATCCTCCATCTCTGCTGACGTCTTGACCACAGCACTCAGCTGATGGATTTCCGGTAAAATGTCTAAAAGAGGTTGCCAAAAGTTACTAATTTGGGCCAAAAACACACAGTCTTTATGATCTAAAACACATGCTGATAAAACATGACATTAACATGATTACATGTGATTTATGATAAATGAAATCTTGGATGCCCTGGGGGTAAGCAGATAAACATCACATTTTCATTTTTGGGTGAACTATCCCTTTAAGTGTTAACTTGTAATTTAAATTTGTCTAAAATGCCCCTAAGCAATTTAAGGGGCAAGTTTTGCCACTTGCCATTAAAAAAAGCTGATTTCTAATACTGATAGTTCCTGTCACAATATCATTAATGCATATAATATATTATATGTACACATAATATATACCATATGTTACTACAGCTAGCCTAACATTAGTCATGGAGGTATTAGCCATAGATACGTCAGTTTTGGTCTTAAAACATTACAAATAACTTAACTACAGTATTTTGTTTGCCACGGTCAATTTTTGTATGGTTAAAAAACATTAACTGAACTGATAATATAGCAATCTGATCAGAAAACGACCGCTGCCGTTATATAAAATCGATCATATATCTACGTTTATAAGATGTAGCTGATGGTTAAACGGCTCAGTGATTTACATGATGAACCTCTTGATATGTTTGTTAATGTAAAGCAGTTCTGCGGCACTATTCATTCATAAGAAAGAAAAAAACGGGTTTACCTTTCGAACGATATCCTCAGAAGACAGTCATATAAGTTCCTCAAACCTGTTCTACACAGTATGATACAACTTATGTAATGTATGATATAATAAAGATATTCAAAGAAATAGCATAGCGGCAAACGTCAACAATTTGTACAGTAGGGCGCCATTACTATCCCAGCATTTACAGCCTAGTGACGTCCCATCCGGCTCCTGAACGAATCACTCTTGTGAACCGGTTGTTTCAAACGATTCAGTCAATCGGATCATGCTGGGTGTGATGGAGGTTTTGATTCACATCAGTGACTTGTCGCACTTCATTCCGTTTGAGATTTATGAAGCATGTTTAAAAAACAAAGTGCTGCTCGTAGACGCCTGGAAACAATTTTGCGTGATGACTAGCGAATTGTTGAATTATTTTTTAAACTGATTTTATTGAATCAACCCGTCCGAAAGAACCGACTCACTTCAATGACTCAGACTTAACAACTTCAAAACATTGAAGTTCTTCACACGAATAGTTTCCAGCATATTTCATTATTTATTTTAATTGTATTCATTTTAATTTCTTTAAATTCTGTTCTGTGCTTTGTGTGAAAGCACAGAACCACACAAATTATTTTATTTCTTTGTCGCAGAGGCACTGGTTACTGGCATACTTAAGTGAATCAAGTGAATCATATCTATTTAATTATTTTTTGCGAAACTCCTTGCAACAACCTTGTAACCACACAGAGTGAAGACAACCCTAAATTATTTTAATCATATTGTGCCATAACTCATGCTGTTCAAATGAAAAAGGGGTCATATGATGCGATTTCGACAAAGCGGAGTCCAGCCCGGGGTCGTCACATGTGGTTGCCGCAAGCCCGCCAGACGCTCCTTCATCGAATCCGCTGGCCGAGCCGTTCTCAAGCCCGCCGCCTATGCTCACTCTAGCTGCCGGCCGTTCCTCACTCTAGCCCCCGGCCTTTGGAAAATAATGTGTTTTTTGAACCTTAAACCGCATAAACACATTGCATTACACCAAATACACAAAATAATGTTATTTTTAGCAGCATCATATGACCCCTTTAAATCACTTACAGCACTACAATTATTTTAAATAAAGTAAAACTGAATAATTTAGTTCGTATACAGAAATAAACAGTAAGACATAGACATGCAGTGTCAAATATTGTCTGTACTTTAGTTTAAACCATCCATAAATGCAAATAATTTTGTCAAAAGTCTAAAATACAATATACAAAGAATGATTACATACTGCACAAATATATTTGCATTCTTAATCATTTATTGAAACCTTTAACAAACACAGATTCAGTAAGTCAGTCGTATTCACGATGACATACCACAGAAAATCCTAATCTGACAGATCAATTTATTTTTTATTAAATATATGACATTTATCTTAGCAATAATAAAGGTCTTGAACTGTGATTTTTCCTGTTGTTGAACTAAAAGAGCAGATAGGGATCTAGAGACTAACACACTTGTTCTCAATTCAGGATGAGTTTTTCCCCCACTATAATTAAAATATAAATGACATTAAAACCAATGAAAACTTGACAATGTCATCAATATCTATACATATAAAATGCACACAAACATGGACATCTGAACATCAGTTGTTAGACAAAGTTGAACTCATTGACTCAGCCTGGCAGGAAAATAATTAATTTGCACATTTCTTGGGGCAGGAATGTCAAATGATTCTAAATATGACACTCAAACAAAACACATGGCAAGAAATTAATTGAAAAATAAATCTAGGAGAAACTGTTTTTGTCATCCAATAATAATGATACATTAAAAAACATGACTATATAACTGCATAATAATGACTCGCTCAATGTGTTTCATTAAAAACTACCTGATTTAAATGCAATAATGTTTGGAAAAGAAAGAAATGCAAGCAAACAAAACTAGACATTTTGGTTTACTTAAACTTTTCAAGTAAAAGGCAACACTTGCATATGATGATTTGTCATGACCTGCCCTTTAAGCTAAAGCCAGTAGAGCTAGAATATACATGCAAGTGCTTGAAATGCTAAGAACAATTAATTAGAGAAGCATATGCATAATGAATCTATGAACAGGTCCTCTACAAGCTGTACAACAGTACAAGTATCAAACACTTCCCAAAACTAATGTTCTCACCAACATGTTTTCAGAAAAAGAAAAAAAAAAAACATTTAAACATCTCTCAAATGCATTATTACAAAAAGGCTGAATAATGGAGTCGATTTCAAGTTTGCAGATACAGGTACGGTACCACACTATAGAAATCTTCATTGTAAGAAAAAGTGTACATATATAACATTAAAGCACTGTATGACTGTAACTCTATGCTACATTTCAGCAATTGCACGTTGTCTGATGTTGAATGACAACATTCATGCAAAAGAGATATCACAACATTTGAAACAATGACAATATTTCCGAGTTTTCCTTAAAGAGATAGTTCACCCGAAAACGACAATTCTGCCATCATTTACTCACCCTCATGTCTGTTTGACTTACTTTCTTCTGTGGAACAATGTTTTCTTTTTGGAAGTCAATGGTGACCAAAACTTGTTCATGCTTACCAACATTCTTAAAAGTAACTGTTTTTCACAGATGAAAGAAAGTCATTCAGGTTTGGAATGACATGAGGGTGAGTAAATGACAGAATTTTCATTTTTGGGCAAACTGTTCCTATAAACATGTTGCATTTAAAATAGCAATTTCTTTTTAATAGCATGACTCTTGCTATTCTCTTCTCTTGGATATGTATCTTTCAACTCCACTTGTATCATTTGATCAAAATCCTTAGGTAATAAACCCAAAGCAATTCACTGACAGCCATAAATAAGCAGCTATGCGAAGGCTGTGGACATGTGATTTGATCAGCGAATTAAAAATCCATTAGCAAAAGCTGGACCATACCTGAAGGACCTGATCTTTCCAACTACACTCTAGATTAATTTAAAGCAGTTGAAGTCATTTCCAAGTACATTTAAAAAAAAAAAAAAAAGCGTGACAATCTGATGACAGAAAGCGTGACCAAGATAATGCTGCAGGTTATGTCCTGCAGGTTAGACAGAACTGCAAATTTTGGCAGAAAAAAATTGAGCCAATAGGCTTTGGAGCTTTTCCAAATAGCTAGTTGAGTGGAAAATAAAGAACAGAGGATGAGCAGGAGCTTAGAGAGTGATCTTGCTGACTCACTCACTCAAACAAGTCAAGGCCTCCAGACAAGAGAAATATATATCGGTGACAAAGTTTACAGGAGTTCAAGAGGATTTGTGCTCCAACATGTAGTAACGGTACATGACGCCCACGAGTACAGCAGCTACGGTGGGAATCAACCAGGTGGTCCATGACCTGAGCAAAAGACAAACAGTTGTTTAAAAATCATACAAACCAAACAGGAGTACTGTAGTTTATGCAGAACATAGTCTGAACTCTTACCTGGCGTCTTCGGAAGTTGTAATGTAAACTTCCTAGAACAGAAATGTGATAAAGCGAGCAAATGTTAACAAACTGCAATCGCTTTTACATGACAGTCAACATGTTCATGCATCAGTCGCAAAGGTCAGGAGACCTTTTTTTTTTTACCTTTTTTGACACTTTCTCTCGATCATCCTGAAACAGAAAAATAGGTATTATTAAAGTTCATGACTTTCCACATACTTGAAGACACAGACTAGATAAGGGACAAATAATCAATAAGATTGTACATCCACAGTTTAAGATCGTTTACTGCATAGAGTAGCACATTTCTATTAACAATACACATCTAAAAACAAGCACAGTGACTACTGTAGGAAAAACATGTGATCCACGTAATCCTAAACATGAGAAAGCTTCATATTAAGCTTCAACATACTCATAAGCTTTTAATATGTTTGAGGCATGTTTCCCTATGCACATAACTTACTCTAATATTAGAAATTCACATGAGTATTTCCAGTTTGCATAAAGGATCAAACTCGAAATGTTAAATATCACAAACTTCAATGTGCACACTGTTTGGAGGACAACACTGGGCAGGATGTAGAATAACTTCTTTAATAAAATACCAAAAATAAAATTTGGCTTTTTAAATCAGATTAATCAAAGACACAATCGATTATCAAAATAAGTGTTAGTTGCAGTCCTAGACTAGATGATTACATTTAGTCAATTAGCAGACACTTTTATCCAAAGCGACTTACAAATGAGGACAATGGAAACAATCAAAATCAATAAACGAGCAATGATATGCAAGTGCCATGATAAGTCTCAGTTAGCCTAATGCAGTACACGTAGCAAGGTTTTTTTTATTTGATGACTAGATCACAAAAATGTCATGTACAAGAAGGAACATTTTCTTAAGACTTTCTTGGCTAATCTTTAAACTAATAACCTTATAAGAAAAACAGCAAACACTACCATATGAAGTTCGCCAATGTAATACTGCTGGAGCATCTCTCTGGCATCTGTGGAATGACCCACGTCCTCAAAGCTTTCTGTTGCATCTGCGCCTGCTTGCTCCAGCAGAACCTCTTCACCTCCTGGATGCTGTCAAAAGAAAAGAAGACAAGGTTTATATCCTTTGGAGTCACACCGGCACTCTTCAATGATACATCTGATGACATGATGACATATGTTGCACAACATTCAAACTCTAACCTCATTTATGTTACACAATGGTGAGAACTAACATCAAGATTTCTGTGTAAGGCTTTTGTACAAAACAAGTTAATGCAAGGGTTAGGATCCAAGAACCGGTTCTTATAGCGTATTAGTGCTCACGCACTTTGGTTCCCGAATTAAATTATTTTTTTCCATTCGATTTTTCCATAGGTATTTTAATACATCTTCATTGAAAACTCACAAGCCATGCATCAAATAGATAAGAAGTAAATTGTAACATTACAACCTTTGATTAGAAGACAAAAATATTTGGAAATAGGGTCCGTCCTTAACAGCTTAATGAAGGAAAAAACTATAATCCCATGAAGTACTGTGAATGACAATAAAATTAAACGTGATGCAGAAATATAGTGATATAGTAAAGTTGTCTATTATACATATAGAAAAAATTATATTTCATGCTTACTGCAAAATACGCATAGCGTATATTTATCTCTTTTATCATTCACAGTTCATTAACTCATAGAAGCGGGTGGTTCTTCAGGTGCAATTTGCTTGTCACCGTTCTCTGATTGGTGGAGATTTGTTTGCAGAATCATAGGTAATGTAGTTTTTCACCAGGGGCCTATACAATGAAGCCGGTTTAGCTGGCTAGCCAGGTAAGTTTAGTTTTGCACCAATTCTTCTGGGTTTTAGTTACCATATAAGTGGTTTGCCTCTTATTTAATGTGTTCATTACCATAGCAGCTTAGCTTACACTCCACAGCTAACCTGCTCCCAGGCAGGTTATGTTTTGATTCAGAGATCTCAAACCAAAATTTGACCAATCAGCTTCGAGCAAAGTAACACATCTCTGACAAAATGTTACTCCCCCAGTTTCACTTGCTCCACATTAAAGGGTGCAACATAGTAAAACATCTCTGGCTTTTAGAGATGATTATTTTATTATAATTACTTGATATGATTTATATAATTATTATACGCTTAATCCATTGCACGAGCCATTTTAGTTTTAGAATTATTATTATTAAGCTTTTATTTTAAATTAATACATACATGCAATATAAATAAGCTTTATATATATATAGCAATATAAATAAGGTTACACACGCGTGCTGCAACAACACCGTAGTTACGTCATTCAAAAATGAAAATAAATAAATGTAGGTTGTATAAAACTTAATAACATGAGTCAGGATTCGAAGGGCAAAAAAAAAATTCGCCACGTGGAAGAAACGCAGCTGCAATCGTTCCGTTTTAACATGACAGCTCAACATGATCAGGCTAGCAGAGCAGCTAACGTTACGTGGCTAATACCCAACGATCCAATGCCTGTGTCCCATGTTTTGATACATAATATTTCCGTAGAGAGTTAGCTAGTCTCATCCTTCAGATTGTTGTTTACTGCAGTGAATCTAGTATGCTAACTCACTAATCGGCCCACAGAAACTTTGATGATCCTGTCAGCAGCTTGTGTTTCGAGTCTAGCAACTAAACATTAACAAGAGTAGCCCGTCCGTAAGATATATAAACAACAGAAACAGTAAAACCATGCAGGATTTAGTGCTGTGTGGTTAAACAGTCGTGTCAGGTGTGATATGGTGAAACTCCAACCCTCTTACCTCCTCCATGAAACGTGTGATATCGTAAACTTTATCATGGATTATGAGCCATGTGTCTTTGCTCATGTTATGGATTTGAACCTCCTCGCGCGTGTAATATTTCACGCCGCTGTCCTCCGGCGTGCGTGTATTGTCATCCTTCACGTCCTGGTTCTCTCTTTTCACTGGGCTCTCAGTTTCTTCCCCCATATTCACGCGGTTTCTATCGCTTCTCCGCTGGAGTCCAGTGGAAACCTAATCTAACGTAATATTTTAGCTTAAAACTGTTTTTTAATACACCTAACCTGTCAGTCCAGGTCAGTTCTTGTCCAGCCGGCACACCATTCACCAGCAGTCACGAGAAATTACCCAATCCATCCACTCGAACCGAATCAGCCAATCTTCTTCTTCTTCTTCTAATAACGTTTTATGGCGGATGGCAAACCAACTTCTGGTGCATTTACCGCCACCAACTGGACTGGAGTGTGGAGCACTAATAAATACATATTTATATTTATCTATATTTTATAAAAAAAATAAATTTAAAAAAAATTCCTCCCATTTTCCTAATTGATCCCCATACTTCACTTATGTCAATATCTTCGAATCAGCCAATCTGCACTCGGCTCTGCACATGGCCAGTGAGGGATCCAGTAACAGCCAATCAGAATCAAGAGCAGATAATCACGAGACCGCCAAACGTCACACGCATGTTACACGCACATTGGTCTCATGTTACACAACCCCAAAAGTCCTTAAAGGGGTCATATGATGCGATTTCAAGTTTCGTTTCAGAAAGGCGGGGCATAGAGGAGAAACAACAATGTACAGTATGTGGAAAATAATGTGTTTTTTGAACCTTAAACCGCATAAACACATTTCATTACACCAAATACACAAAATAATGTTCTTTTTAGCAGCATCATATGACCCCTTTAATACTGAAAAGTCCTAAATACCTTTTTGTTTGCGTGTGTATATTATATTGTGATTGGATTGATGTATTTATCATTATTTTGTGATTGGATTGATGTATTTATCATAAATTGCGTTGTAAGTGTCTATTTAGAGGCGTACAAACAAAGAAATGGTCTACTATGTCAAAAATCAAATAATATAGCCAAAAACGTACAAAAAGTTAAGGTAAACTTTTATTAAGTAGCTTTGAAAAAAAAGATGTCTTAATATCCAATATCCTGATTATGAAAGGTTTTAGGACACAACCATTGATGGTAAAACCATATAAACCCTTGATTAAAACATATTTGTATATCTGTGCTGCAGTTAAAAATGTCATAAAGTCATAATGATCTGTAAAAAAAATTGTACTTGTAAAGTAAAATTTTGAATAAAATATTTTATTTTAATTTTAAAATGTAATTGAGTGCAAATATTCAAGTCTCAATAATAGGCATATTCAAGTAGCCTAGCTTTAATACCCCAAAATAATACTTGGGTATGAAGTTGAATGATTCTATATAGGCTAATTATTATACACTCCTGTCTATTAAAAGAGAGAGAGAGAGAGATTTTTTTAAGATTTCAGGTTTGCATTCTCAGACAAAATAAATTCACACCACTGCTATTTTTTTCTAGTTGTTGCTCTGAATTTAGTATGCCAAACGCAAGCATTGGGTGTTTAGAAACTGCAGTTGTGTTGAGAGGAGGTATTCATTTGCTCTGTTTATTCTCATTTGTCTCTTTCCTGAAACCAAAACAAAACCTTTCCAAAAAAAATAGTTTGCTAATCACTTTTGCAGAGGTTGTCATTCCAAGCTTGGTAGAGAGCAACTCTCCCTCATTTGCATATCTAATCAGCTAGTGATGAGTGCCATGTGTGCTCTACTGATATCTGTTTAGGGAAAACAGAGGACTCATATTTGGTCTTGTCTAATTGTAATATGGCTCATTAATAAGCCCATGTAGGTACACACTGAGCCTGTGCACTTTCCCATTTTTACAAACTGAAATCTGCAGATTCTGATGTTGTATTAATAACAGGGGAGAAAACAATTTGATAACATTTACATTTACATTTAGTCATTTAGCAGACGCTTTTATCCAAAGCGACTTACAATTTGGGGATAATATGTCAAATCTAGCATGGACATCAGTATCATATGAGACTGTCTTTGAGAACCCAGCTTTGTTTATTTATTTGTTTGTTTGTTTATTTATTTATTTATTTGAATGTTATTTTTTCTATTTCAGTTGTTGATTTGCAAAAATCATAGGATTCTTTTTTTTGAAGTTTAATTTAAATTATTTAAACTGTTAAAGATTTGGTGCCACACTTCATATTTATAAACTAAATGGCTGATATACTGTGTTAAATAATATTTTATCTTTTAATTTAATTAAAGTAAACTTAAACAAACAAATTGTGCCAAAGTAGGTTGAACTATGCAAAAGTGGGATGGTTGTTGGAGTCACAATAGTGCACTGCTCAAACTTTTATATGTTCAGTCTTTGAGTTTTGTAACTTCCTGAGCCCTCCAAAATGTTTCCAATACTGTTTTGAGTTACAAGTGACTGAATTCTAAGTGGCTGGCATACCTCTATTTATACCATATGGGTAAAATGTTAAGAGTACTATAATAGACTTTAACATGGTGATGGATATAACAATGTTAATGTATTTGGTCTTGGCGGAACAGATCTGCTACGCTGCTGCTGCTGCTGACTGACTGCTGCTGTTGGTTATTGCTGTAGTTGTAGATTATTGCTGCTGCTGCAAGCAAGTACAGGAAATTGCTACTGCCAATGCATACAGCGATAAGGTGCCGTGAGTATTTAAGACATACTGCTGCTGCACAAACAGCATATAAAATAAACCCGTTGCAGATCTATACAGGTGGAGCTGGGGAAGGTGGAGGGCTTCAGAGAAACTCTGAAAGCACGCTGCAGATTGGCTGCATATGCAGCATAAACCAATCAGCTTGTGCCAAGTCATTTAACTCTCTGAATATCATCAGTTACATTAACAACCCGTCAGCCTGCGCATTCTAGAGTTTCATGACTGAACTATATATTTATGTCATTAACATAACTAACATATTTTCACATTAAAGGCACAATATGTAAGATTTCTTTATTAAAATATCCAAAAACCACTAGAACAGTGTTATATATTTTGCTGACTTGTGTACTTACATTATCTCAAATGTTTGAAGAATGTTTAAATCCAGAGAAATAAGCAATTTTAACTAGTGACACGGACTTTGTCTATAGTGTCATTGTGTCGCCTGCCAATGACGTCATAACCCCTCGATTTCCGGTTTTGTTTTGTAGAAAACATGGAAACACCAAAGACGCTTTAATATGTTGTGCGTTTTAATAGACAGGTGACGACCGCACAGAGTAGCATTATAACAGAACTAAATGTATCTAGTATGATAAAACACCGCTGCTTTACCCCACATACGCACGACCGGAAGGAGCGGAAGCGGTCGACTGTGGCATAATAAAAGCTCCGCTGCTTTCGAGGCCGTGTGTCGCGCACGTTCAGCGGCCTCGTTTTTCCACACTCAGTCACGGCGTCATCAAACTATGCCTTTGTCTCTTTGTTTATTTTGAATACACGCCCTCTAGCGGCGAAAATTACATATTGTGCCTTTAAGTGAAAAACTGCATTTCATTTTTTGTGTGTTTGTGCATTATATATTAAAATATATATTTATTATTATTATTATTATTATATATATTTTTTTTTTTTTGTACTTAGTTTATGGAGACCCACATTCAAGGGAGGATCCGATTCCTTGCGACACTGGAGAAAAAAACCTTCAGGCCCTTAGGAACCGAGGCAGTTAGAATGAGACTCGACCAACCTGAAATATCTAGCTACACAAGTTACCAACCATCACAGCCCGGACCCTCGCCTTCTGTTATCACAGTTTTGATGTGGACACTATTTTGCTCTGTTTTCACTACTGCAGGTTTATGCTTTTATTAGATCGAGTTTCACACTATTTACATGAACTAAAACAGTGTAGGTTTGTTTTGGTAGCTGTCACATGCACCACAAGTAACTCCTTCACTTATTTATTTCCTCCCTCCAAACTGTCAGCATTTGCACATTGTGACTTCCTTTCAGTTGATTTGTTTTTGAACAGGGCAGTGAATGGCTTTTCTCCAGTGTGCATTCTTTTGTGTTTCGTTTCCTTCTCCCTCACAGAGAGATAAGGGAGCAACGACTCTTCACAGTGTGAACACTTGTAGGGTCTGGCTTCAGTATATGGATTTGATGGATATCTCACTCAAATGTGCAAGAGTGAAGTTTTGGGTTGCTATTGTTATTGTGAATGATTCATCTATGCATCTTGTTCCAAGAGAGAGTACTGTTTTCATTCATCTTCAGTGTACTTTGACTTGTAGTATTGATTTGCAGCTGATGTCAACCTGCCCCTCTTGTTTATTTCTTCTCCCACCATCTTTTATTTAGATCACGTTTCACAGTCCATGGGGATCCCTATTAAGTTTCCAGAAAAATAATGCTAAAGTAAAGTACATAATACTCAAGTAAAGTACAGATACTCCAAAAGCGTACTTAAGTGCAGTAATCAAGTAAATGCACTTCTTTACTGTCCACATCGTTTCACTCTAAAGTGTCACTTCATAGAATAAAAATGGTTTCCCCTCATGTTGGTCTATGTATGATTTTATGATTCATATTATGGTCCAGGTTTTCTAAAAATATACAGTGCATCTCTAAAGGCTCCAAAGTATTTTTTTTCTTCCCTAAAGTGCCACAGAAGCACCGTTGAGTTTTCCAAATAACCTTTTAGTGAGTAGTTAAAATGATTTTTTCTTAGTGTGAATGTTT